AAAGAGAGGTCAGACGCTCAGTCTAACTTTACTGCTAAACTTGCACCACTGTTTCAGGGACCATTGTGTGTATCTCAGAGACTCAGTGATGTTAATTACAGGCTCACTTGGGTGGACTCCGGTGTGGATGCAGGTGTTTATCATGTTGTGAACATGCAACCGTTCCATACCTGGGACTCTCTCACTTCCAAAGAACAATCTGTTTCATCGCCTGCTGGGAGAGAGAGAGGATCTGAACTCTGACTCTCAGGCCCACCTTGGCCCCCCTGCAGACACTGACATTGACTCTGAGCCATTCCCCTTTGATTTACCGGACATTGACTCTTCTTCTGTTGTGGGCGCTGTTTCAGACAGTCTTTCACCCAGATCTGTCCGGCACCCAGCTGCTGGTGGACATTGCAATTTCAGGCCCAGACGTTGCCCCAGAGTTACGTCTGGCTGGAGCAACAAAAGATGGATTTTCACACAACCAGGCTTGATCTGAAGTGAAATGTTTTGGTTAATCCTGTTTGATGCTGTCTTGTTGCATTGCTATTTTGAGTCGTGATATATACAGTAGATGTTTCTGTTTGCTCTACTTAATCCAGTTTTATGGCTCTTTAGTGCATTAAGGTTCATTCTTGGCCTTTACTTAAAAAAAAAAAAAAGTGAAAAAAAACTAAGAAACCAATCTTAGCTGTAACCTCTGTGTAGGGTACTGTTAGGTGTGGTGTGTGCTTTTTCAGCTGTGTATGGCTGAGGACAGCCTTTTTCTCACCCGGGGGGGACTATGTAACAGTTGCTATTGTAATGCAGTGTATGACCACATGGCGGCGCCTCCTGTCTCATGACTGGTGTGTCACCTCCTTTTTGTTCTTCTTCGCACTCCTCCTGTAATGGCTGCTCCCGTGTGTACGCGGACTAGTGTGCTCTTTAGTAATGTGTGGTACAGGTAGCACTTTTATTTTTGATATTGTAAATAAATGAGTACTTTTTGGAAAGTCAGAAGCTGTTGCTCATTCGCTATCCACCTGCACACCTCCGCGGCTGGCTTCATCTCCACCGCACGTTACAACACTCATGAGCAACCACTGAGCTGCACTAAAGTCTGATATTGTCCAGTAACCACAAAGCAGCAGAAATCATTTTCATCATCAGAAGTTCTTAAAGTAGTCACTGTCTTATTTTACATTTATATTATTTGCAGAAATTAAGATGATAATTTTCATGTTTCCTGTTTTATCTGATTGTCTTTCACTTGATGAATTAGGCCAGCAGTGAAGTATGGGCCACCATCCTGGCTCTGATCTGGATTCATGGTTTCAAGATGGATGCAAAGGACGAGTGGGAGCTTCTGGCTGTGAAGGCTGCCTCATGGCTCCAAGCTCACAAAGGTAGTAATCATCACAATGAAAATAAAATGCTATAGTCAGCTTTTTCCCTCATATCAATTTCTATAATCATTGTGTGTTTTGTGTTTTTAGCACCGTTTGTGTCAGAGTGTGTGGATGCTGGAAATGTCCTGCTGGGTTGCAGCGTGAGGAAAGAAGCTCTGGGACTCTGAGGGTTTTCTTAAAGTGACCTCACCTTCAGCACTGTTAAGCAGAAGGATACTGACTTACACTATACTGTGTTGCTTTCTTTAGTCTGACCCTTTAATTGTTATAATGTGGTGGACCACTGGAGGGCTCCACTCACACCCAGTTCTCAGGAAGTGTTGTTGCTGTGTTTTGGAGGGAAAGTGTTCAGTTCTGTGGTGATGAGTAATAAACGAGCAGTGTTTATCGAGAGCTTTCGTGTCGTCTGTGTTTACCTCCACATTGGTGACCCCTGACTCGAACATGCTGCAGTCCGATGGTGGCGCCGACTCCGCTCTGGATGCATCAGCAGCCGCCAGCCCTCTGCCTCCGGCTGCAGCTACGTTTGCTGTGGCGCTCAAGCTGCCGGACTTTTGGCTTCACGATCCCCCGTCGTGGTTCGTGCACGTGGAGGCTCAGTTCGCCCTTCGTGGCATCTCGGCTGACGACACGAAATATCACCATGTGGTGGCTTCTCTCGACCCGCTAGCCACCCGTCGTGCGTTGACTCTCCTCCGGGACCCACCCACCCGAGGGAAGTACGCCGCCCTTAAGGAGCTGCTTCTTCGGCGCTATGCCCTCACCGACGCAGAGCGAGCCGAGAAGCTCCTCTCCCTCTCAGGCCTGGGTGGCGGTACGGCTCTCGAACTGATGGAGCACATGCTATCCTTTCTCGGACCGGACGACGGGGGATTCCTCTTCGCCCACATCTTCCTCCGACAGCTGCCGGCGGCCGTGAGAGCCGGCCTCGCCAACTCTCCGCTTCTGGGCACGAAGGATTATCGCTCCCTGGCTGAGGACGCGGATCGTATTCTCCTGGCTACCCGCACTTTCCACGATCACGACCTAGTTCCAGCCTCGCCGGCGGCGCCTTCCACTTCCCCGCTGACCTGCCACGACGTACCCGATCCTTCGCTGACGGCAAAGATCGCGGCACAGCGACACCACGGACGGGACCTCTGTTTCTACCATCAGCGTTTTGGCGCCGGAGCGCGCCGCTGCCTGCCGCCTTGCGCTTTTCCGACCCTGGGACATGGACCCCGCCAGCGCGCTGTAGCGGCCGCGACCGCTGGCGACAAAGAAAAACTGCTCTTCATAGAAGACTCGCGCTCTGGGAGACGTTTCCTGGTCGACTCTGGCTCCCAGAAGAGCCTCCTTCCCTCCGTAGCCGACAGTTTAGCAGCGGGCTGCGGACCGCAGCTTATTGCGGCTAATGGCTCTCCCATCGCAACGTTCGGGGAAAGGTTCGTGACTGTTTGTTTTCATGGTCGGGATTTCCAATGGACCTTTGTTGTTGCCGCTAGCTCTGTACCTATTTTGGGCGCTGATTTTCTTTGTGCCCACGGACTGCTGGTCGATGTCGCTAACAGACGCTTAATCGATGCACTGTCTTTTTCTTCAATGCCCTGTTTCACTCGCGCCATCGAGCCCCTGAATCGGGCTAATTTAGTGACTTCAGGGAATGTTTTTCAGCGTTTGCTCTTGGAGTTCCCTTCACTGACTGTTCCTAATTTCTCGAACACGGCAACGAAGCACGGGGTTGAACATTATATTCCGACGGTCGGTCCCCCGGTGTTCGCACGCGCGCGCCGCCTCGACCCCGCGAAACTCTCCGTCGCTCGGGAAGAGTTTGCCGCAATGGAGCGCCTCGGCATAGTGCAGCGCTCGAATAGTGCCTGGGCTTCTCCGCTACACATGGTGCCCAAGTCAGACGGTCGGTGGCGGCCGTGTGGGGATTTTCGCCGTTTGAATAATGTCACGGAGAATGACCGTTACCCCATTCCCCACATCCAGGATTTTTCCGCCCACCTCGCCGGGACCTCGATTTTTTTCTAAAATTGACTTGGTGCGGGGGTATCACCAGGTTCCCGTGCGCGTCGAAGACGTCCCCAAAACTGCTGTTATTACCCCTTTTGGCCTGAAAGGCGCCGCCCAGACTTTTCAGCGGTTGATGGACTCTGTTTTGCGGGGGCTGCCTTTCGTCTTCGTGTACCTTGACGATATATTGGGGGCCAGCTGCTCTGAGAGTCAGCACGCGTCCCATCTGCATCAGGTTTTCCAGCGCTTGGCGGCACACGGCCTGATCGTCAACCCCTCCAAGTGCCAGTTCGGCTTGCCGGTTCTGGATTTCTTGGGCCACCGCATTTGTTTTTATGACAATCTGTTCTTAAATTGTGTTTTATTTCTCACAAAAGTGAAAAGATTATGGAAGAAAGTCGAGCCAAAGAACACAGTTGGCTCTTAGACTTCTAGTATAGGAGGCCCTCAGCAGAACTTTTAAAGAGAATAAGAAACACATAAAACCTTAGATAAGGAGATGTGCTCTGTATGGAAGCCCGTTTCTGCCACTAAAAAAAAATATTAAAAAAGGATCCATAACTCAAAATTTTGACTTATTTTATCGAAACTTTGACTTATTAACTTATTAACTAGAAATTTCGAATCAGTTAATCAGTAATCTACGTGAATGATGTCATTTCCTTGTAACCTGAAGCTGAAGCCTTACAAATGCTACAGCTAAGCTACCGGTATTACATCCAGTCATGAATGCACAGATTGCCGAGTATTTTCAGTGTGGCTTCAAAAATTATGAAATCCTTGTGTAATTAGTGGAATCACAAACAAAGAAATGAGAGACCAAACATAAATTTTCTAATGTTTTATGCTAAGTATTATTTGGAAAGTCATTACAAAACAGGCAATTTTGGGAAATTCAGATTCAACTCGAACTACATGAGTAAGCAAACATGAATGAAGACTATGTGCTGCCTTAAGACATTCAAGGACCAATCAGTGTCAGTTAGCAGAATGAAAGTGTATTATGGATAAAATTGCTTTTTTGATATTTAATGGATCAGATTACATTTTTTATTTCTCTCCGATATCCGATCCAGTAATTTACGTCAGTATCGGACCGATACGTAATATCGGATCGGTCCATCTCTACTTTCTTGACAGACACACACACACACACACTCTACATACACACACACACACACACACACACACACACACACACACAACACACACACTCTAATTACAAGTGTTTAAAAGTTTGAGTTGTCTGAAAAACTAAAGAAAGAAAAACACAAAAATGTTACAATACAAAAGTTGGAACTTTATTAACACCCAGAAATACAAACTGATGGGTTGATAAATATCAAGAAGACAGTACATTTCACATAAAGACTGTGCATCATTTTAAGATGAAAAAATGCAATATGGGGTCAGCCAGAGGATTAATAATCAAAACTAAGATATTCTGATATTAATGCTGCACCGCCTCGAATCTCACTATAAGTTACATCTGTTGAACTGACTTCTTGCTAGCATTTCCAAGGAAGTCAAGATGAAAAAAATGAAACCTAAAAACAGAGGGTCCAATACATTTAACAGGAATTTGTCAAAAAGAACAACGAAAGTACTGACTGTTAATTTTTTATTTTTGACCCTGTGACTCAGTTATTAGTTTGAAAATAAACGTTTGTATGTCTTCATAAAATACTGTAAAGCTTTTGACTCTTAGGGAGTCAGGAGCTACATGACAGATGTTATTTTGAATGACTTGGATATTTGCTGTTTACCAACCGTAAGTCTGCACAACAGAAATATTGTTCTGAAACACATTAAAATACACAAGTGAAAGATGATATCTGTAATTAAAGTTATAGTGTAAGCAAAGCAAAACAGTTTATGTGAAAAACTGTAAAATATAATTTCAGTGTTCTTTTTACATTTCATAAGAGTAAAATCCTTGTAGGAGTAAATGTATCCAAGCTTCTGACAGATGTGACAGATGTTTAACTTATTGTTGTTTACTTGTAGTGTACAATAAATAATCAAAAACACAGGATTATTCTGCAATGCTTCATTACTCATTAATGTTACAAATGTTGAAAGGTAAAAGTGTTCAATAAAATCCTAAATATTGCAAAATGCTGCAAGAACTCAGTTCTTCTTTCGCTGCTTTAGGACCAGACGCGTACAAGTAACGCGTTACTGTAATCTGATTACTTTTTCAAGTAACGAGTAAAGTAAGGGATTACTATTGCAAAAACGGTAATTAGATTACCGTTACTTTCCCGTAGGAACGCTGTGTTACTGCGTTACTAAAACCGTGATTTTTTTTGCGAGAATGTCTCATGACAGTGACGTAAGCGAGTGCGACGTTCGTGACAACAGCTGTGTGCAGATCAACAATGGATCATATATCGAGTGCGGGAGAGAGTATGAGCGTGCAGCGTTTAAAGCGTGGAAGTACTGACCTTACTTTGAGTTTGATTCCATAAAAAGTGACAAAAACATTAGCGTCCGCTGTGCGTGGGAAGAAAACTTCTTTTTACAGCGAAAAAAACCCCTAAACTTCCAAGCAAGCACCGAGTGCGCTACCACGTAATGGGAAATGCACAGTCCACTGACCGCCGCGGCACACCTGCACCAGGGTAAACCTCCGCCTACCCAACTCCTGCTTTACAGGTGAAAATAGAGCAAAAGGACCGCTGAGTCTTTGACTTTATTTATGTTCTGCTGTGTTTTACTTGCATCTATTTGAAAGAGTGAGTGTAAACACAAACAAAACAAAAAAAATTTGTATAGCGCTTTTCTAGTCCATAGGACCCCAAAGCGCTTTACACTACAATCAGTAATTAGTTACTGATTACTTTCCTCAAGTAACTTGACCAACACTGATTATTATAGTATATTCTTTTACCAGTCCAACAGATTTATGTTCCCAAATGGATCATTACAGCTGGTCCACTTGATTGTCAAATTATTATTATTACAATCAGAACGGACAGGACTGGGGGATGGGAAAGAGAAAGATGAAAAAAAGAGAAGTTGGGAAGATGCTCAACAGAAGGAGATGGAAAGCAAAAAAATAGGAAAAGAGAGACACAGAGAGTGAAGACACTAAAAATCTGTTTGATCACCTGCTGGGAAAATAAAAACAAGCCAAAAAAAGGGAAATAACACAGTAGCAAAACCACAGCAAAAACCAACATGAGCACAAGTTATAGTAAATAATAAATATCTCTACATCCCGGAAGGGGCCTGATCGAGCCACAGGGGCCACCGGGAGTGAGCCAGTATATCCATATATTCTCCTCTCAGCCCTTCTGCCCAAAATGGCGAACAGAGAAAAGGGGTGTGAGGACCCCATAACTCACTCCGCCCACTCATTTGTGATGTTGCTGTCTGCTGTTCTAAAGTACATTTAAAACATGGGAGGGGTCTACTACGACTACTACTACTACTACTACTGTTACTGCTACTACTACTATTACTGCTACTAACACTACTACCAATAATAATAATAATAATAATACATTTACTTTAAAAGCGCCTTTCAAGACACTCAAGGACACTTAACAACAGAATAAAACAAAAAGTAGAATAATGACAAATGGTAAATGGCCTGTACTTGTATAGCGCTTTACTTAGTCCCTAAGGATTCCAAAGCACATTACACTACATTCAGTCATCCACCCATTCACACACTGGTGATGGCAAGCTATATTGTAGCCACAGCTGCCCTGGGGCGCACTGACAGAGGCGAGGCTGCCGGACACTGGCGCCACCGGGCCCTCTGACCACCACCAGTAAGCAACGGGTGAAGTGTCTTGCCCAAGGAAAATTTAAAACTGCTGGCTAAGGGTAAACGTAAATTCAGTAAAATTATAATTCACATCGGCAGTAATGATACCCGGTTGCGTCAATTGGAGGTCACCAAAATGAATATTGAATCGGTGTGTAACTTTGGAAACAATATTGGAGTCTGTAGTTTTCACCGGTCCCCTCCCCAGTCAGACCAGGAGTGACATATTTAGCCGCATGTTCTCCTTGCTGGCTGTCTGAGTGGTGTCCAAAAAACGATGTGGGCTTCATAGATAATTGGGAAACTTTCCAGAGGAAACCCGGTCTTGTTAGGAGAGACAACATTCCTTAGATGGAGCCGCTCTCATTTCTAGAAATTTATTTCTAAATAAAATTTATTAAACACATATTAAAAACATGACTATCCAGAGTTGGGACCAAGAAGCAGATTTGCAGTCTTACATGCCTCTCTTCTCTCCTCCCAGCAAAACACCGACTTAAATGAGTCAAAACCCCGGAGTCATACTAACTATCAGAATCCTTGAAGCACAGGCCGAGTGCTATGAGATTGACTCTAAGATCACAACCTGATTAAAAACAGAATCCAACATAAACATTCTTGAGATTACGGGATGGCAAAAAATGTACTTTAAAACAAGATCTTCTTGTTTCATTGGGACAGTAAAGTCCCATAAGAAAGAATAGGCATACCTGTGTAAGAACAGGTATCACTGCTATGGAGTTTAATGTTTTACATGCAGACTCAGGGCTGCTAGTCTCCTCTCGGCATTTAAACATTGGTGATTTAGAAACTCACAGTTCAACAGCACAACACTGTGTTTCCTTTTTACATCAAACATTTCTTTCAGCCATCTGTTTTTATCAGTGGATACATGACTAACTTTTATTCAATAGCCACAAATTACACAAATCCAAGATTAAATATTTTATTTATCAAAGACATGTGATTACACATTCATACAAGGAGCTAAGCACAGTGTAAGAAAAACTTTATAAAATAATAATAAATGTTTTATAAAAATCATATTCTCTGATGATCACATTACACGTGTCACATCTGTTTTTTGTTTTTTTCATTTTGGACTGAACATGGTAACGCCTGGACCTAAAATATCAGGGCTGAGTTTTTTGTCCCAGTCCAGGCCTGCAGCCCTCCGTTAAGAAACCATGTTCTGATCTCATTTCCACATTGATACAACCGTGATGAGTTTATTTTAATGCGCTTTCATTGAATCCGTTTGATCTATATTTAAGGGTCATTGGTTGGATACTTATCTGTAAAAAACTGAAACTCACTCGATCAAATTGTTAAGTGGTTGAGCAGGCTGATCCACAGCTGAGCCGAGCATCCCTGTACACCAGACCGTTACAGCAGTTTGCTGGTTTAATTTTTCTTGATGGCTCACACCTGTTGCATAGTGAGTTTCAGTTTCTACCTTCTGGGCAAAGGTTCCTGGTTTCAAAATGTAAAACATGGAGGTTTAAAAATAGCTTTTTTGTAGCCGCCATTACTCAGATGAACAAGTTATAGTTTGTTTGTGGTTGTATTAAGAGTATGTGATGGATGGCTCATGACTGCAGAACAAATCTAGCTATGCATTCCCTCTGCTGGCCTTGATTTCACTCGCTGTGAGACATAGCTGATGATGAGGTCTCATTTGTTAGTGGAAATTATGTCCAGCTGTTTACTTACATGACATGAATTAAAAAATGAAAGATATGCATTGGAATAAGGAAGAATTTTGCTTCACTATGACTTTGAATTTAAGCTGCATATTTTCCTCAACCATGATTAAAAAATGTGTTGAAAGATAGAACTGGCCAGGTGTGTTGGTCTTTTTAAATATTTTAAAATTAAATTATTTATTTTTTTCATGGTGACTCATTAGAAGGAATGATGGGTCCAAACTCATGTGTGTTTTTATTTGTTTAATATTTGATGCTTTCAAGCAAACAGCAACATTAAAGTTAGAATAGAAAAGCAATAATCTCTGCTACTCTTACAAAGCTGACTTTGGACACACGCAGCATAAAATAAGGCACATTAGATAATAAAGTTGGACGATGCAAAGATTAATGTGGATGAAGTATGAAGTAAATCTGCTTCTGTGTATGAATCATAAAGAAGTTGTTAGTTTATAAAAAACCTCAGAGGCCAAGGGCAGTTTTTTGCACACTGCAACCCAACAATATATTTCCGGCTTCCACACACTCTGTCACAGACGGTGCTGGAAAAAAAAGGAACACACAAAATAAAATATTCAATTAGCATCTTAATAACTGACCGACTGTAGCAACTCAGTATAACCATCACCTTTTTGCGCACTGAGCCATGACACAGCCTTTGCAGCCAGAAGCTCCCACTCGTCCTTTGCATCCATCTTGAAACCATGAAGCCAGATCAGAGCCAGAATGGTGGCCCACACTTCACTGCTGGCCTAGTGTATAGAATCAGCAGTCATGTAGTTAAATATTAAATTAAGTGAGGCAGCTTGCAGATGTTCGTTAACATGAGTGTGTAATTTTGAAAATTCACTTTTGAAACCATTTTAATGAATACGTTACAAACACCCACTATTACTGTGTTATTATTTATTTAATAGCCCACCTTTTCAGGCTTTGACTTTTCCACCTCCTGGTTGGTCTTTCCCAGTGCAGCAGCCAGAGCTGGATCAAGCAGCCAGCAGCCAGACGCCTTCTGGAGGGAGACTAACTGTAGCAAAGGGTCTCTGAGTGGCTTCTTAGCAGGTGGAAATTCTTCATCCGGCAGTTGTGAAGAGGAAAATTTAGAGGAAAAGTTACATAATAAAATGCCCTTCCTGGGTGGAATTCAAAGCAATATTTAAAATAATGTGCTGAGTTAAGTAAGAAAATATTTCTAATGATTTGGTTCCACATGTTGCAATATATGTGTCATATTTAGAGTTGTTACTATTTCTATTTGGGCAATTAAAAGAACAATATTTAACAAAAGACGTCAGCTTTGACAACCAGATATATTTCATAACTTTTTGGATATTTGATGATTTCTTTTCTCGTGGAAACAGTTCCCAGTTTGGATTTGGGAGACACACACCCTCCCTACATTTAGGATTAGGCTTAAACCTTTCCGTTTTGATAAAGCATATAGTTAGCGCTGGATCAGGTGACCCTGAATCCTCCCTTAGTTATGCTACAATATGTCTAGGCTGCTGGGAGATTCCCATTATGCATTGAGTATTTCTTCTTCAGTCACCCTTTTCACTCCGTATGTGTTTATACACCTCTCTGCATTGAATTATTCTTCCTCTCTGGCTCTCTTCCACAGCGTGTCTTTGTCCTGTCTTCCTACCCTCACTCCAGACTGTCACAGCAGATGGTGACACCTAGGTCTGCTGGAAGTTTCTTCCTGTTAATATGGAGTTTTTCTTTCCCACTGTCACCAAAGTGCTTCCTTATATGGGGTAATATGATTATTGGAAGTTTTCTCTGGATTTTTTTGTATTATTGTACCTTACATTATAAAACACCTTGCGGCAACTGTTGTTATGATTTGGCCTTATATAAATAAAATCAAATTGAACTGAATTTAGTTATGGCATCTGACAGTGGACTCCTCTTTGTTCTGCTAGACTTACGTGTAGCGTTCAATACTATTGATCATAACAGTACACATTTTATCACTTTGCAGATGACTCTCAGCTTTATTAACCATGAAATCAGAAGACACAAATCAACTAGTTTAACTACAGAAATGTCTTACAGTTATTAAGGTCTAGGTAACTTTTAATAAGTCCTAAAAAACCTAGAAACATGGTGTCTAACCAGACACTTATTTTGATGGTATTAACTTGGCTTCCAGTAAAGTGTGGGCAATTTTACCAGGATATGTTCTTCAATGCACATATTAATCAAATATGTAGGACTGCCTTATTGCAATGTGTCTAACAAACAAAAACATTATGTGTAAGAGTGATACTAAAAAATTAGTTCATGTATTTATTACTTCTAGGCTACACTATTGTAATTCATTATTATAGATCACTTTTAAAAATCTCTGAAAAATCCTCAGTTGATCCAGAACGTTGCAGTGAGAGTACAAACAGGAACTATGAAAGACAGAGCATATTTCTCTCATATTAGCTTCTATTCATTGTCTTCAGAATTTAATTTAAAATCCTTTCCTTCATATAGAGTGAGGAGAACTTTCAGTGAAAACATTCCTTTATGATAAAGCTCATAAGTTTGGGCTGAAGCAGATGACTTTGAACAATCGCTTAGCAATGCTGCAATAGGCTACCGGGGGGCTACCTATGATGTTTCTGTTTATTAATAGGAAAAATGAACCACGCTGGCTGTCTCTTTTATAGTTTGCCACACACTAAAAACAACAATTAAGAGTACAAAAGCACCAATTATACATAAAAAAGAAGTCAAAACAGATACCTCCATCCATGCTGTACAAACAGCAAAAATCCATGAGACATCTGTCTTCTGCTTTTTCAAAGGAAACACAACAGTAAGCACACCAGATATTCTTAGTTCTATAATTCTAATCCAAATGCAAACAAAATTAAAACATGTATCTTTCATTGCACACTAAATTCAGTAGCAAGGTTAACTGATGTGCAATCTCATTGCACTTGTCTGACTGGAATTGAATTATCTTAATTGCTCATGTGTAGCATGCCAGACTAAATCTGTCTGTGTCCACCTTCACAAGTGCAACTCAATTAACTTGCAGTAATCCCAATACTGACTAACTACTAGAAGACAAAACCAACCCTAGGCAGTACTGAAATGTTTAAAATCATCCTATATACTTTACAACAAAATTGTTATTTGCAGATAAAATCTCTAATAGCCAGTTAAAAATAATAAATTAATGCTTGGCTTTTTTTTTTTATTGATATAAGATACAGAAGCTATTTAAGCTTTATTTTATCTATATATATCTCCAACCTGTAATTAAACTATTTGAGAGAAAATCAATCTTTACACATCTTTACACAGCCTGTAACTGGGGTTTTCCTGGTGTGATAGACCCCAGCCTCTATGGATCTTGTGCTCAGAACTTGTTCCTGTGGTGCCATGATTAGTGCCTCTGTGCTGTCTTTCAGTCCAGCTTTGTCCAGCCCCTCGTAGAAGTGCCTGATTTCGATGTCAGCCACTTCCTCTATCTGCCAGTTGTTCATACTGTGCAGGGGACTGTCCTTCCATGATAGTTCCTCCTCTTCCTCCTCTTTCTTTGGTTTCTGCTGCCTGAGGTATTCACTAAGCACATGGTTGGTTTTTGCCATCTTCTTGGTGTACTCGTGGATGTTCGTTGTCTTATCCTGGACTGTGGTACTGACACTCAACAGTCCCCTGCCTCCTTCCTTCCGCTTAGCATACAGCCTCAGGGTGCTGAACTCGGGGTCAGAACCATCCATGCATGGTCAGGAGTTTCCTTGTCTTGATGTCAGTGGCTTCTATCTCTTATTATCCCAGCAAGGTACCCGATGACCGTCAAGGCCTAGGTGTTGATAGCTTGGATCTTGTTCTTACCATTTAGTTGACTCTTCAGGACTTGACTGACCCTCTGCAGGTACTTGGTGGTTGCAGCTTTCCTAGCAGCCTCTCCACAGCTCCCATTTGCCTGTGGGATCCCCAGGTACTTGTACCTGTCCTCTATGTCTGCAATGTTGACTTCTTGTAGTTCGATCCCCTCAGTTCTGACTACCTTCCCTCTCTTTGTTGTCATCTGATTACACTTCTCCAGTCCAAATGAAATTCCTCTGTCATTGCTGTATATCTTGGTGGTGTGGATCAGTGAATTGATATCTCGTTCACTCTAGGCATACAGCTTGATGTGATCCATGCACAGGAGGTGGCTGACAACTGCTCCATTCTGTAGTCGGTATCTGTAACCAGTATTGTCAGTGATCTCACTGAGGGGGTTCAGATCTAAGCTGAACAGCAGTGGGGACAGATCATCCATCTCCTTGGTAGATCCCGCACCTGATGGTGACTTGTGCTGTTGGCTTGAAGTTAGTCTCTAATGTTGTTCGCCACATCCACATAGAGTTCCTGATGAAGGCTCTTAGGGTCCTGTTGATCTTGTACAGTTCTAGGCATTCCAGGATCTGAGTGTGGGGCTTGGTCAGCCAAGTCTTGCAGTCTCTATCAGTAGCTAGTGTTTTGTGCCTCTGGTATTGATGCCAATTCCTTTTTGTGCCCCGCTTATGTATTGAGCCATGTGCCTACTCATCTTTGCCGCTATGATGCCTGAACAGAAGCTTCCATGTGGTAGGAATGCAGGTTATGTCCAGTAGTTGGATGGGCCCGGTCCCTTCTACAAACAGCTACACATTTACATAGATGTACAGATGTGTCATTTAGGTTTTACGTACCTGTTTCAATTTCCTCAAATATCGCCGCGGAGTCACACACTATAACGTAAAATAGAGTCAGTACATTTCTTAAGAATTTGTTAAGGAACACTAACTTACTGATTTGTTGATATACAAATACAAAACAATAGTATAAAAGTATGTAAATGTACATCACTGTCACCTTTCTAATCAGAATCTTGATTTCTTGTAACAAATATTTTAAAGTCAATGTCATTTATTGCTTTTGGATCGTCTGAACCTGACTCAGATATTCTGCTCTTAAATTTATCATCGTACTCTTTTTATTCACATTCATCTGTCTGACAAAAACAGATTAATATTTCATCTTAACATGTAATGTCTCCACATCATACTACGTTTCTGGCTTCTGAGAGTCTTACAGCAGGTTAGAATATTACTACAATATTTAAACTGTATTTAAATCTACATGTTGATAAACACCACCTATATTTAATCATTCAAGTTCAGACACATTGGCTCATTTAAAGGGTCTTTTTCATTATTTTTACTCTTTTGTGCAGTAGAGAAGAAAATGGCTCTTTATGGAAGGAACTACATGATCACATATTTAATATATTACATTTCTAATTATTTAATAATTCAAAAAAGTTAGTTTCACAGGAAGGAATTGCAGCTTGATTATGACACTAATATGGAAATGTTGGGAAAATTAGACATTTTATTTGCTGTTTAGATCAGTACGTTTATGGCTTCTGAGGTCATTATCATGACCTGCAACTTATCATAAATGGTAGTATAAATACAGCCAAATACAACAACTGGGAAAATAAATACTGCAGCAACTGTGCAGTGAATGTTTGACATTTAACATTTCAAATACAAATATGTTGGTTTCTTTGTTTTTATTTTAGAAATGCACATGTGTGTAGATGTGTGTTGTCACTCAGCTTCTACTTACTAATCGTGGATGGAGCAGCCCTGACCGCTATGATAAAAAAAAAGTCAGGTTGAGGGTGAACATATAAGAGAGAAATAAAACCTGGCATTACCACACCGTTGATCTTTAAAATGTATAAATCAACCTTAAACAGGTTGAGGTTATCAGGTGAAGTCTTCACTTTGGGACACAGCACATTACAAAGGCTGTCACAGCAAATACTGCAGCTATTTGCATACAGTATTCAAATGAATTCATCCTCTATATGGTTGCCATTTGCCTGTGGGATTTCCAGGCATTTGCAATGTTGCATTCTCATAGTTTGATCCAATCAGTCTTCTTTACCATCTGACTACACCTCTCAAATCCAAATGACATTTCAATATCATTACTGTATATCCTGGTGATTGGTGAATCAATGTCACGTTCACTCTTGGCATACAGCTTGATGTCATCCATGTACAGGAGGTGGTGTGACGATTGCTCTGTTCCATAGTCGGTATCCAGCCAGTCTTGTCAATGATCTCACTGAGGGTGTTCAGGCGTATGCAGAAAAGCAGTAGGAACAGTGCATCTCTTTGGTAGATCCCGCACTTGTTGGTGACTTGTGCTTTGGGCTTGAAGTTGGCCTCTACTGTTGTACACCACATCCCTATTGAGTTTCTGATGAAGGCTCTAAGGGGCCTGTTGAGCTTGTATAGATCTAGGCATTACAGGATCCAGCTGTGGGGCATCGAGTCATAGGCCTTCTTATAATCAATCCAGGCAGTGCACATGTTGATAAGCCTAGTGTTGCAGTCTCGGGTGACTGCTCTGTCAACCAGTAGCTGGTGTTTCGCTCCTCTGGTATTCCTGTCTATTCCTTTTTGTGCCCCACTCATGTATTGATCCATGTTCCTATTCATCTTTGCCACTATGATGCCTGACAGGAGCTTCCATGTGGTACTGAGGCAGGTTAACGGCCAGTAGTTGGATGGGACGGGTTTCTCCTGGGGGTCCTTGGGAATCAGGCCTTTGTTTAGCCATTACGAGTGTCATTGACTAGCAGCTGGTTCATTTGTGCAGCCAGACGCACATGGAGTGCAGTCAGCTTCTTCAGCCAGCCAATTTTACACACACGTGTGTGTGTGTGTGTGTGTGTGTGTGTGTGTAGAAGTACTTGTACTGTGTTTGCAATGGTAAAAAACCTTGAACTCCCCGAGCGAAACGGGGGAACCATAGTGTGCAGTAGGGCTGCCACGATTAGTCGACTAGTCACGATTGCTGTACTACTTAGGCATCCCTGTCTTCATCACATCTTTCTGCAGCTCTGATAGTTGGATTAGTTCCCTCCATAATGCCTTGATCTTCGCCTCTAGACTTCTGGTACATGTACTGCTCCTGGTGGCTATTCATCTTGTAGACAACCATCTCACCGATAACTGCTGCCGTGGTGTAGATCATTTAGTTGATTTCAGTGATGGTCACAATAGGCATTGTCGGCACTGCTGCATTTGTATCTTCTAATAGACCCTCAGAGTGTACTTCATGTAATCTTGTGGGGCGATCGTGGCTCAAGAGTTGGGAGTTCGCCTTGTAATCGGAAGGTTGCCGGTTCGAGCCCCGGCTCGGACAGTCTCGGTCGTTGTGTCCTTGGGCAAGACACTTCACCCGTTGCCTACTGGTGGTGGTCAGAGGGCCCGGTGGCGCCAGTGTTCGGCAGCCTCGCCTCTGTCAGTGCGCCCCAGGGTGGCTGTGGCTGCAATGTAGCTCGCCATCACCAGTGTGTGAATGTGTGTGTGAATGGGTGGATGACAGGTTGTGTAAAGCGCTTTGGGGTCCTTAGGGACTAGAAAAGCGCTATACAAATACAGGCCATTTACCATTTCTACCTACCGAGCTGTCCAGGCCTCAGGCATGGACAGCTTGCTATACTTCTTAGCCACCTTTTTCATTGCACCTTTCTGCATCTCTGATTGTTGACACCCGAACCACCAACAGGGGCGAGAGGGGGATTTTACACACACACGTATGCGTCTAACACTTTATGAGTACTGTGTGTGTGTAGAAGTACTTGCACTCTGTTTGCAATGGTAAAAAACCTTGTACTCACCAAACGAAGTACAGGAACGATAGACATCAGGCACTGATAAGATAGGATAAGATAAGATAAGAATGCCCCAAGAACAATATGAAGTAGATAGGATTGCTAATTATTCATGTTACTTGGAATATCTCGGTGCAGAAGAGGTCCTTGAATCTCCTTGTTGTTGTCTTTATTGACAGCAATGAAAGCAGTGAAAGAACTGCTCACTCCTGATTGGACACTCAGATGCACCACCTTCTTCTTTACTTCTTCTTTTTCCTGATTGTTTTCTGCTTCCATCTCTAGCAAGCAAATAAGAGTCCGAGCAGCTAACCTGTGGACTATTAAGCTACAGACAAGAGAAAATATTGGTATGGTGACATGGTCACAATTACCATGTAATTATCATGTTACATGCAAAGTGAACTATTGTAAAGTTATTATCTAATAAATCCAGTGGATTAACAGCTCATTTACCCAGAGTCTGCTGCAGGTCTGAGACTGAAGTGCAGCTGGTTCTCAGAGGGATGACCTGCCAGGCTGTACTTCACCGTCACACAGCCCTCTGCTGCCTCTGAGCTCTGACACAGAATTACAGTGTCAAACCAATTTCATCTTTTCAAAACATGACAAGCATAAACACAGAGATCTACACTGTGAGAAGATGCTGCTCCTACCTGTCCAGTGAGCTGGGCATAAATTAGTGACCTTTGACCCTGGAAAAGTGATGTGATTGGTGGAGAGAGTACAGTGATAGTGGATCCCTTTGGTAAATCCCATGTAACAGAAACATCTTCCACAGCTGGTTGCAGAGAAAAATGCAGTGACTGCATCACCTGATGAGTACAAAAACTGAAATCATATCTTCTGTCCAATTTTTTTTTTTTTTTAAACACAAATCATTTTTTGCTGTAACTCTTATGAGTCATTGTCTTACTTTTGGTTGCATCCTGTCAGTCCCTGTGATGAACTGAGCGTGACCTCCTCCTTCCTTGGCCATCCCATTAATGAGAGCAGAGCTGGCCCCTTCCCCAATCCCAAAAGAGAAACACCTGCAATACAACAGTTTTCTCTGAGTACACAGAGGACATGTTGGACATTCTGGGAATTGTGTAGATGTAGTTGTTTTTTTCTGGTTTGCGAGAATACAGCAGTTGTTTTAAAAACAGACACACTTGGCATATAGCACATATAATCACATTTTTTTGTTTTACCTGTGGGAACCTGAATTCTTCTTCACCAGATCGATCACTTCTTTGGTGTTCCCCACCTCTCCATCAGTAAAGACAAACAGCTAGAGAGGAGAGTTTACACACAGTTTTTCAACTGCACAAGCTGAAACACAACTCTCTGATATGTAATCAAGTATGCAGTCAGTAAACTGTTTTAACAAGTAAAAACAAAGAGAAGAAGCTTTAAGCAAGAGTGAGAGGAACAATAGGAGCCACTCAACAGATCAACTCATGTATAATTAGCAGATTATATGAGACTGATACAGGGCTTGATTCATGGTTAACTTACATGTTGGAGTAATGAATGAGAAAAAAGAAAGACTAAAGAATGACATTATTAAAGTGTGTGTGTGTGTGTGTGTGTGTGTGTGTGTGTGTGTGTGTGTGTGTTACCTGTCTAGGCTGAGTGGGAATGCAGGGCTGGCTGTAAATATGTTTGAGGGGCTCCAGGATTTCTGTTTCTCCAAGATCAGCCTTCATCTGCTCAACTTTCTTCAGAGCCTCCTCCATGGTCTTCTCACCATACTCTACACTCTTACTGCCATGACAAACACACAAGTGAGATCAAACATAACCTGGAGTTTTGCAGAATCATCCAAAGGCAACATGTTGACTAACAGCAGGGAAGATATCTTATCACACATTTACAGTAATATCACTGAGATCATATGAATACAACTGACGGGAAGATGTGTTCATATCTGGACCCAAAACTGTAAATGTTGAAATAGCAGCCCATTGGTAAGCTCTTCAACAGGAGCAGCAGAGTGTCCTTCAGGGAAGAGGGAGAAGATAATGAGGCCACTGTGTGAGAGGAACAATTTAAGGAAATATTTTGTAACACTAACACCACATCATAAATACCTTGGCACTGCTGATCCGGGTTTCCTGCTGCTCAGTGTTATTCGTAGCACAGTCCATACTTCCAGATCGATCCATTAAGAACACAAACTCTCCACATGAAGCCGACTGGACCAGCGCAGACATGCTGCAGGACCGGATGCGCTGTCTACACCGGCTCTCTCTTACCCTTTACCCGCCCCTGTTGCTTGTCTTGTGTTTCTATGGTGTATTGATAGTCATGTGCTTTTTGTGCTGAGGTGTTTTTTCTGTTATCAAACTGTTCTCCCACTAGGAGCTCAGTCTGAGTGGAGTTTTTTTTCTCCTCCTCTTACCTCATGTTATGTATTTTCGTTGTTTTTTTCCTATCAGCCTACCTTTCTGACATGTCTCCCCAATGTGATGTTTGTGTAAAGTTGGTCAGAAGGTTCCTTTGTAAGTGCGCATGCGCCATTAGCGTGCTGCCTGCTGTAACCCTAATTTCCTTCGGGATTAATAAAGTATTCTGATTGTGATTCTGATCACATGTGACATGACCTACTAGTTGTTTCCTTCTTGCCTGTCAGCTTAACATCACAGGTTGGGTGCTCGAGACTCTATTCGCTCCTGGAGATGGAAGGAGAGAAGCATCAGGAACACAAGATGGAGAGTAAAGAAGAAGGTGGTGCACTCAGTGTCAATCAGGAGTGAGCAGTTCTTCACTGCTTCATTGCTGTCAAAAAGACAACACAAGGATTCAGGGACCTCTTTGCGCAGAATATTCCAACAGCCCGTGAGTTGTTTTTTTTTTTTTTAAACTAAAATACTCAAACAAAGTTTGAAGATGAAGAAAGCTGAACTTGAATGAAAAGAGTACAATGATAAATAGAAGAGCAGAC